CAGGCAAGAGAATACCCATGCAGGGCTGAATTCATTCCTCATTTGGATGGGTACAAAGCTGGAGACCCCCAGACTGAGCCCAGATTTACACCAGGGTGACTGAAATGACAGTTTGTGCCCCCGATTGTGCCGAAGGCAGCTGGGCAGACCTTTATTCCCAGGCTGTGGGAGGTGCCCTGCTCTCCACAGACAGAGCTGACACTCACTGTTAGAGCTTCCTCGGAGCAAAGTGCTGTGGCTTTTCTCTCCACAGGGTCCCTCTGGCCATGCCCCATCCCATCCTCACCCAGATGAGCAGGCAGGCTGTGCCCTGGCAGCTCCCCCCCCGGCCCTTTGGGAGCCCTTTGGGAAGGAAGGGAGCAGTGCCGGGCCCGTGCTCAGATCCGGTGCTGCTGATCCCCTCCAGACCCTGTGAGTGCTGACACGAGTGGCAACACACGTGCACACACTCCTGTTCACTGCACACCAGTGCTGGGTGATGGCTGAGGCAGGTCACTGCTCCCAGCCCAAAGGAAAGCTCAGCCTGGCTGTGCTCCTGTCCCCGCGCTCTCATTTTCCGAGCGAGCCTCGCACCCCTCGCAGATGTTGTGGAGGCAGCTGGCAGCTCACACGGTGTTGACTCCTTGTTTCCAGCTGCTGCAGCTCGTTAAAAGGAGCTGTGGTACATTTAATCCTTTCCTACTGTCACTCTTGCCTTGAAGCTGCTGCTGCAGCGATGATCACTGTGTTTACAGGGCTGTGAGCAGGGGGACAGTGATCCGCTCATCTGCCCGGAGTGGAGCTGTGGAGCCAAAAAGGCACTTTCCCTTGGGGATGCAGGGGTACAGACTAGCTAGGAGGCTGGGGATAAGGAGATTTCTCCCATCTGCCCGAGCCATGAAATTCAAGCACAGCTCCTGTACATGTGGTGGGAGCAAGGGATTTATTTAACTCATCTTCTACCTGTGCCTGCTGAGGTTTTGCTGGGGTGCTGCAGATGCTGGTGGCAGCAGACCCCAGGGACCCCTTTTTCCTCCATGCCTATCTGTGGAGACAGGCTGTGAGCCTCTGCCCACCCTCTGAAATCTGCATTTTGCCTTTCTGCTGAGGGATGCAGGAGCCCATTCCTGCTGCTCACCCTGTGATTGTCCTGGGAGGGATGGTGTGTACCTGGGAGCAGGGGACTCTCAGAAGGTGGCTTGGCATCACCTCAATTCATCTAGGCATGGGCACGCAAAGATTAAAGCTTCTGACACTCAGACAGAAGAAAACCAACCCTCTTTTAGGGCTGGAATACTCTGGCTACCTGCAAATGCTGCTGAAACAGGAGTTCCAGGTCATCAGGGAAGCCAATTTTCCCCATTCCTGGTTCTTGGGGGAGGATTCTGGCTAAATTTGGATATCAAGGCATGTACCCACCTCTGCAGTCTGGGAAAGCTGCAACTTGCAGCCAAGCTGTGCACACTGGGGGACCCCCAGGGATCACCAAGACTGGGGGTTTCCCCCTTTTCTGCACTTGCTTCCAGCCTCTTCCTCACCAGCCAGGAACAAAAGGGCCCAAATGACATTTGGAAACTCCAGATCTGGTTTTGAAGCTGCAGAGGCTGATTTCCAGGGGAAAACCATGTGAAGTTGCATCAATCCAATCACCTGGTTTTATTTAAGCCCACTAGCCAAAATCATCCACCTCAGATAATCATTCCCAAACCAATCTGGATTTGATTCAGATAAGACAATGACTGAGTGGCAGGTTTGTAAACCTTTACCCCCCACTGTTATTTTTGTTTGCCCTTTCACTGGGGCCCTTCTGCCTCTCTGAATGGGACCAGAGAAGGATGGGGTGGTAGCACTTTCTTGCCTCAGAAAGGCTGCAAAAGTGAGGAGCACCCCCTCCTCATCCTCCAGTCTCCCGGAGTGGGAGAGCATGAATGCATTTCATCTAAACAATTCAGTTTTGGACTGTTTTCCCAAATTGATTGGGACCTCTGAGAGCTAAGCAGAGCCAGGCAGGACCCCCCCCACCAAAGCTGATGTTGTCCCACCCCTTGTACCAAGGCCAGGTTTGGCCCATGGTCTTCTGCAACGTGCCCCTCGTTGGCTCCCAGTGGAGTGATGCTCTCTCAGCTCTTGGCCAGGGTGGTGCTTTCTGTCCCCTGCAGCTTCGAGCAAAGGAAATAAAGCAGCATCTCTCCCAGAACTGGCTGCATCCAAAATCTCTCACTATTTACCTTCTCCATCTCTGTAACCCTTTTGCTCCCACAGCACAGGAGCTCTGGCTTGCAGACACACTGATTTAAGGATGTGCTAAGAACCCCCACAAAGTTCAGCAGAATTCTACAGGATGGGGGGCTCTGAGGGTTGCCAAGGCACAGCACTGTCAGATGATCCCCCTCAAGGGGAAGGGGTGAAATGTGGACGGTTCAAGTTCCTTGGACAAAACAGTGCTTAAAAAATCCAATAAAATCACTGTGAGTAGAATTATGATGGGGTGCTGGGCCTGTCAGATTGCTCAGCTTGGCTCAGCTTTCATGAGGAGGCAGGACAAGTGGCTCCTGGTGAGCTGGGTTGGTCTCTGGTCACCCTTCTGGGCAGGGAGTGGGGAGATCCAGCCCTCCAGTGACACAGGGATCCAAGAAATGTTGTCGAGTCATTGCTCATGGCTCGCAGGCTGTCAGGATGCCCCCATGGATAACCTTTTCCCAAGGGTTCCTCTGCTGAAGGGAGGTGTCTCTGACCCTGCTGAGATGTTCTCAGTTAGTGGCTTTATGGCAACTCAGTTGGGCTTGGGCAGATCCCTAAATAACCCCTTTCCTCACAAAGAGGGTGCAGAGCTGTGGGACTCACTCCTTCCCCAGTGGAGCTGTTTGCTGCCAGGGGCTGTGGGGGGTCAGGACCAGGGGGTGCAGCCCTGCCAGCAGCACCAGGGAGAGAAGGTGGCTTTGGAGAAAGGCTGGAAAACCCTGCAATCACCTACCCAAAGCCTTGGTCTAAGGTGAAGGGCACCTCCTGACCGACCTGCCTCTGATCCCTGCAGCCATCCCTGTTGGCATTCAGGGAGATGCAGGGCTGGCAGGGAGCACCTGGCTCTCCCCACTAGTTGCACAGGGACCTGCTCCTCATCAAAGTGACCCCATTTTGTGCCTAAAATGGGTTGTGCATCCCCTTATCCTGCTCAAGGGTCCAATTGCTGCAGGCTCCGTGCTTGTCCTGACCCCGCTAAGGGGCCAGGGGGGCACCAGCCCCAGCGCTGCCCCAGCCCACCCCACACAGGGCCTGGTGCTGAGCTGGTGGCCGTGACTCACAGCCTGGGGCTCCTACAGGTCACACTGCCACAGCACATCAGGGCAGGCACTGACAAGGGCTGTGGCCAATCAAGGTGGATTTGGGATGGCCAAATGCAGCTCTCCCAGCTGGCGTTTGCCCGGGGCAGTGGGGGAATTCAAGGAAGGAGTTGTTTCCCCAGCTGTGTTGGTACCTGCATGGAGCCCACAGGTGGCCAAGGTGGGGACATCCCCACACCAAGTCCCCTTACAGCCAGGACAAGATAGAGGGGCTAACAGGAGCTGTGGGGAGGGGCTCTGTGTGGCTGAAAGAAGATGGTGAGCTGCACTACATCATACGAGTAAGCTCCTGAGGACCTGAGGAAGAAGATTTCTCCTGATGGAGTTGGGTAACAGAGGCTGGTATTACCAGGAAACAGTGTTGTAAGGAAGAGAAGACCTGCTCCTGCTTGGCTTCAGCTTAAGTGTGATGGTCCCTGTTCCTGATAACCCAACACCTTGTTTTGTAGGGACTCCCCAAACAACACACCTCATGCTGGTACCCAATGTCTAAGGCAAAGCACCCAAAGGGCTGCTCAGCAGGGCTGGGCTGGAGGGAGCTGCCTGGGGCAGCCCTTGGTGTGTCTTCAGGCTCCTTCCAGCCCTGCAGCTCGGAGGGAACACTTCCAGAAGCACACAGGAAACAACAGGCACAACCCAAGGCTGGAAGATCATTCTTGCCCGGACCAGCCTGATACTGAAACACAGAGTTGCTGCTTCTGCATTTACACGTAGCAGGACTTGTCCTTTAAATCAGTCCCATGGAACACCCTGGGATTTACCTTGCCATGACACTGGCGACCTAAGACCTTGTCCCTTTGCTCCCTGGGTTCCCCACCCTGGGAGAGCTCCTGAGCACACAGCAACACACACAGCCCGTGTGACAACCCTTGCCACAGGACGAGCCTCGGCTCAGAGTTCAATTCAAGGTGGCGTCCATCACTTTTAGTACAAACTCCTAAATTTATGAACCCTCCTACACTGCTGAGGCAAAAGTAAACAGCCTTTACACCTCGTGTCCTTCACAGCTGTGGCACTGCTCAAATACCCCAGGAACCTGCAGGCAGTGGGACAAGTCACCCTTTCCTGGGACTCTCTGGCTCCTGCCATCATCCCCTGCTCAGATCCGGACATGAGACACATTGTTATAACACACACAGGTCACATCAGCACCCGAGACTGCTTGGCACAAGGAATGCTCAGATCTAGGAATACAACAGGAATGCTCCTATACAGCAGTAAGCAGTGATTAGGTATTTTTTCCCTTTTGGAGGATTTTTGGTTCTCCAGTCCTTCTCCACCAGAAAATCTCCTTGGAACTGTTCTCATCTTTCTGAGAAGGTAACCACGAAACTTTCTAATCAACCAGTGGTGGTTTCGAATCCTTACCCCTTTTCCATCAAGTGTTGGTTCCACATTGAGTGGAACCACACATTAGGTTCCACCCTGTGTGCTTATGGATTTAGAACCTCTGGAAAAACCTCTCTCCACCTTCTCTGCACTCCCACATGCTCTGAGGAACACCCGTCTCTCAGGATGCTGCACAGCTGTTTTGAACACTCAGACGCTTGGGCGTAAAAGGAAACCACTTGTCCCGGTACAAACACCAGGATTTATGTATTTAATGGAACTTCATTCAAGGGAGGGGGTTGCTCAGAAGGCTTTTAGCATCACAGTGCTTCAAAAGAAGAGAGAACGTACCTGCGGGCTCCTCCGTGCTGCTGGCGGCCGTGGTGGGGGGCGCGGCGGGGATCTCTGTGCGGGACAGGAGGAGGCAGGAGCAGAGGGGAGATAAAAGGAGGAGGAATTATTCCAAATCCCAGAGAGCCTGGCCCCTGCACACACTGCATGTTCCCTCCCCAGCCGTGTCTACCAGCACGGAGGGTTTCCCAACGATGTCCTCCAGCAAGGAGCATTGCAAGAGCCCCAGGACCATACCTACTGGGGAGTCAGGCCTCCCTGGAGGGTGTGGGGAAGGGGGTTTTTAGCAAAACATTTGGGCTTGTGGCTGCGGGCTGCACTGTGCCCAGCCCCTGCAGGCAGTGGGAATGCTGCTGCCTCTCCCTGTCCCAGGGCTGTCCCTTCCAGCTGCTGTCTCCACCCACGTCTGAGGCAGTGTGAGCACTCCTCTCCTGTGAGAGAGGGTGCAGGTAAAGCATTGCATCTCTCTGCAGGGATACAGGTGTTACCTCACACATTTAAGGGAAAAACAAACATATCTGGTGCCAATGCACTGGTCCCTGGTTTTGGTTTGGGACCAGCTTTGCAGAGCAAAAACCACATAATATTCGGGATTTTCATGCCCACACCTGGCTGTGTTTGTTGAAATTCAAGGGATGGGCTGTGGATGGAGGGATGGCCCCAGCTTTGCAGGATGCTCTCCTTTCCCAGAGCACATACATAGCTCTCATCACAGACATCCTTCACACATTCAGGGCATGATGATGCAATTTCTGTGCATTCCTGGTAATCCTGGTGGGGGAACTCCCCACCAGCCCAGTTTGAAAGTGGAATTTAGGCATGAGCTGGGGGTCAGCATTTGCCTCCTTCCACTTGTGCTCTTGGGAACACACCTGGCCACGAAGGCAGGGTTTGCTGGGGTCAGTCTGCATTGTGGTGACAGCAGCTCATAGGGGTGCAGCCCAATTAGCATTAGATGATTTTTTCAAGTCATTCACTCTCATGAAATTAAACACAGGCATAGCCCATGTGAAAGACATGGTACATAGTCAGGAAGCACACAGACAGCCAGCACAGCCATCCCAAAAGGCTGGGTGGGTACGTCTGCCTGCAGTGCAGACAGACCCTACTGGGGTCTTGTTCATTCCCCATGAGGTGTTTTTTGCATGATTGTAAGTCTCTGGAACAGGGAAAACATAAGCAGTGGTAAATCAGAGAGTAACTGTGCCCTTGCAGGCAAGGTGGCAGCCCCTTGCTAGTGGCAGTGAGCCTGTGGCAGTGGGAGAGCAGCGTGGGCAGGGATGGAGCCCCCCACTACACACAGATCAAACATGTGTGAACTCCATCCCCTCCCACGTGTGGGATATGCTGACTGACATTTTTCAAGGACGAAAATGTCCTGGTTTGGGTTTTTCTGGGATGAGGGAATTGTGAGTTGCTCATATCTTCACTTGAATTGCTTTAGAGTCCTATGTGCAGATCCAGCTCCCAACAACTGCCCGTGGGCTTGACGGCCAGGCCAGAGCCTGGCTTGGAAAGCATTTTTAGCAAAACATCCCTAGGCAAGGATGTTTTGCAGTGACACAGAAGTAAGTGGCTCCCATGGGTGCTGGGTGGTGGTCAGGTGGCAGGGCCAGGCAGGGCAGCCCTGCCAGGCTCACACCAGCCTTGAGCACGCAGGGTCGGGAGCTGTGTGAGCACAGCCCGGCTCCAAACCCCTGCATGGGTCATGTTGAAATCCTGTGTCTGTCTTTATTTAGTGCAACAAATCCCAAGGGAGCTGATGCAAGGAACAATTTACTCTCTGATTTGCCATGGCCCTGGGGAATGGCTAATGATAAACCTTTGTGCATACTTGCTGCAGCACAGCCTGGAGCCACGACTGGAGGTCTTGGAGAAATAAGCATCTAGTTTGAGCTCTTGCTGTCCCATTGCAACATGGGGAAAAATGAATCTCAAGTGACCAAAACCCACCCAGAATGCATGTTTTCTTCAGCAGGAGAAGGTGGACAAAGGGTATCTTCCCCATAATTCAGCAATGGCCATGCTGAGAAGGAGATGCTGGGGGGGGGGACAGAGCAGGAGCAGACTGTGGGTTCCCAGGAAAGACTTGAGTTTTTTCAACCTTCACTTTTCTCGTTGGGCCTTTTTCCCCTCTTAGGAGCAAAGAATCACTCTTGAGGGGAGCAGTTCCTCCTTCCCAGCCCATCCCAGGCACACTAATTTTGATGCTTCCTTTCGTTAGGGTGGGGGGAGATGTCTCACAAGGTGCATGAGCCACTGAATGATCCAACAGCAGCAAACCCAACAGGCAGCAGAGAGGAGCACCAGGCTAAAGCCCACCTTGCCTGGGCAGTGAGAGCTCAGCAGGGGCTGAGTGGGGATCTGGGTGTTTGCAGAGCAAATGCTGCAGTGGAGACACTTTGGGAGCTGTACCTGTACCGGGGTGCTCCCTGCTGTTGTTTGAAGAGCAGAGAAGGAGAGCAGCCTTGGGAAGGCAAATTGAAAAGCAAGCCCAAGGAAGCAAACAATAAACCAGCCTCTGTTTCTGGGAGGGTTGTGTGAGTGCAAGATCCCCTTTAGCAACCCAGGTGCTATCACTGTGTTACTGTGATGGCAACTTCACCAAACCAGCAGCTCTTCTGATCTGAGCTCTGTGTCAGTGCAGCACAACCTGGCTTTGGAGAGAAAATCCTGTTTGTAGGGATCTGCTCTAGCATCCAGACCTGATGTGGTACCCAAAAATAAATGTGCTCTTGAGGCACCTTTGCTCCATGAAGCAAAATCAAATTACCATCAAACTGGTCTGTAACTGCACCCACACAGCCCACCCAATGAGGCAGATGAGCTGTTTGGAAGCCAGTGCTGGATCCTGGGCTATGTTCCCTCCTGTGGGGATGGGAGGGGAACCCAGGCAGCTCCATCCCCCGAGCACTGCCCGCTGGCACGGTCGCGACAGGGTTAAGCAGCCTCCCAACACGGGCAGTGGCTCCTGCGGCTTTTTAAGGGTTAATATCTCTAATCTACAGACACTGAAAGAGTGATCCACCTACTTATGCAGGGGGCGATGGGAGAGCGGCTTTGCTGGTAGCCTTTGGCGCATCGGTTGCAGGTGATGCCGGTGACACCGTCCTTGCAGGGACACTGGCCCGTGGTTTGGTTGCAGGTTTGGCCGGCGGCACCCACGGGATGGCAATCGCACTCTGTGGGGGGAACACACAACAAGAGGGTCAGGGGAGAGCAGAGCGGGCGCAGGCGACGTTGTGGCATCGTCGGGGAGCAATCCCGGCGTGGCTCCACCTTTCCTGCCGCCGGCAAACATCCCACCCAGCCAGCGACCGCACCGACCTGGAACGGAGGTGGCATTTGGCAGAGGGGGTGTGGAGGCCCTTACTTGGGCACAGAGGGGATGGCACCGGAGAGAGGGTGGCCCTGCCACAGCCCATCCCGCTGCGGGGATGGAAACGCAGCCAGGCTGTCTCAGGTGCTGCACAGCCCTGGGGAGGCAGCGTGGGGACACCCACCCGTGGGCACAGAATCACAGAGCACACCGAGTTGGAAGGGATCATCGAGGCCAACTCTTAGCCCTGCACAGGCCCATCCCCAAGAGTCACACCGTGTGCCTGAGAGGAAACACAGCTGCCTTATCCGTGAGTGCTGTGACCAAGAGTTTGCAGCACTCAAAGAGGAGGGGAGCAGGCAAAGCAGCACCCGCTGCCCCCACCCCAGCAGTTCAAACGCCCTCAGGCTCCCAGGAGCAGTGGCAGGACTGTAAGGAAGAGGGACAAAACCCAGGAGTGTTTCATTGCCCCTTCAGCACATGAGATCTCAGGCAGGGAGCGAGTGCTTTCAGAGATGTCGGGAATTCATTTCACATGCACTACAAGAAAAACCAAACCAGCCACCCTCCTCCTTTCAGTGCTTTTGCTCGAGCCCTTCCCTGCTGAGCAGCATCCCTGGCAGCTGGCACGGAGGGAGCAGGAAGGAAATGCCCTTGTGGGATGCAGGCAGGCTGGAGGACCTGCTGTTCCCGGCCAGATGGATGGAGGCTTGACGGCGGAGCTGGGCAGATGTGAAGGGTTTGGCAGGGGATGTAAATACTGCACTTGAAAACATTCACCATCTCATTTCCCACAGTGGGACTTACCGGCGCAGCTGTTTGGTTAAAAAAAAAAAAAAAAAAAAAAAAAAAAAAAAAAAAAAAAAAAAAAAAAAAAGCCAAAAAAAAAAAAAAGGCATCAGGGCTTGTTATCATCGCTGCTCCAAAAGGATTACGGCCTCGAACATTTGTTAACAGCCCTGATTTCTAAGAGCTGCAAGCACCGTGCCAGACTGTGGTCTGCCCCTGCTGAGCAGTGGCAGGGAGAGGCAGGAAAGCAGGAAAGCTTTCCTTTTCTTCTGCAGCATCCTCGAGAAGGAGCCAGCCAAATCCCTCCCAGGGGAGCACTGATCCCGCTCTCCTTCTGCCCCTCAGGGGAGCTGCCTGCTAGAAAGGGGGTTTGGGGGAAAATGTGTCCCACTGCCCAAAATCTGGAGGGAGCTGGTCTGTGGGTCAGGACCAGTACAAGTGTCTCCATGGGCTCCAGTGGCTTAAAACACCCCCAGATCCCCCAAACTGGGCATACCACTCCTATGAGGGTTTGTTCTGGACCCTGCAATGATTCTTGGTTTGTCTTGCAACCCCCCAGCTCTGAGACACCCTAAATCTGCCTCATCTGGGGACAACAAATCACATCCCACATTCATTTGTGTTGGTGTCCAAGCTTTGATGTTTGGCTAGAGCTTCCCTCTAACTCATCCCAGCACGATCCTGCTCCAGCTTCCCTGTACCAGCAGCTCCCAGTTTGACCCCCCTCCCAGCAGGGTTTGGATAGTGCCTCTGGCCTCCTTGCACCAGGATTTCCCCTTCTCCCTGCATGGGACATCCCATCCCTGTGCAGCCCTTCCCAGAGCACCAACAAACTGCTGCCATCCCTGACTACACCAGTCTTGGATGGGAAGAGATGGAGCCTTGCCAAAACCTGATGATTTTTTCACATATGAGGGGGAAAAAAAACCCTTCAAGAAACCAACAACGCTTTTGCTTCTTTTCTCCTCTTTTCCTAACACTTCTGATTTGGTTTTTTTGGTTAAGGGTCCTGCTCTCTCCCCTGCTGTGAGCTGTCCCTGCTTGCTGCTTGCTGCCCACAGCAGAAAATTTGCTTTTCTAAACTTAATTTTGATTGAAAAACTTTCAACATGAAATGAGTGTGGCTGGTGATGAGCTCGGAGAGCAGAGGGATGTTTAGGTGGGAAAACCTGCCCGTTGCAGCCCCAGGGGATGGCTTTGACAATGCTGGGGGAGAGGAAATAAAAACACATTAAGTGAAACAGTGAAGAAGAGCCAGGGCAGAAAAGAGTTAAAGAAGAGCAGAGAGGCAGGAGTTAATACAAAAATAAGCAAATCAGGGAAGGGTTACACAAGAAGAGGCAAAGGGCAGGAGGATGGGGAGGAACATGCCTCATGTTTCAGGCGTCCCCTCTGGGGCTGCGCTGGTTTCAGGCATCGCCTGCAAACCCCCATCCTGTGAGTAATCCTCCCCCATGTGAGCGGATTGCACCGATTTCAGTGGGCCTGCTTGGACGAGAGAGGGAAAGGGAGGGAAAAAAGCCTTGGTGATGAGTAAGATTTACAGAATCAGGCTCTTGGAGGCCGGGCTGCAGAGCACAGAGCGCTCCTCTGGACACCACATAAATAAATAGCGATGCTGCTGCTTCCTTCCCTCATGAGGTAATGCCTCGGCACAGCTTGTCTGGAGCTGCTGGGTTATTTTTACAGCCGTATCTGTCTGAGGTTGTCTCCTCTCTCCCCAGTCTGGGCTCCTGGGAGGGCTCTGCACACAAGTGTCACCTGTGTCCCCACGGGCACGTGTGATGTGCCCAAGGTTGCAGAGTAGGCAAGTCATGGATCTGGGACTCACCAGCTCGTGGTCCAGGACCTCACCAGGACAAAGCCCTGGCTGATCTCTGACAGCTCATGCTGACACACTGTGGGGTAAATCCCCTCTGGGTGGAGGGATGTGCTTTGTGTCACCAGTCCCCAACTTTTGGTTGGGGCACAGGACCCTGCGCGTCCGGGACCGCTGCCCCGGGCAGAGCACTCCTGCTCCTCCAGAGCCTGACCCCACTCTGACTTGTCTATCTTCCAGAAAACTCTCTGAATCAGCAGCAACTCAGCCCTCGTGGGCAGGGAGGCAGGAGGTGGTCTAGGCGGTGTCTGCAGATGTGTATTTGCCGTCCCTGTCCTAGAGAAACTGAACCAGCGCCAGCAATTAGGAGCAATTAAAGGTAATTTGCAGTTCCCTGGCCAGTGCAAACACTTGCAGCCAGCAATTACAGGCTCTTCTCCTTCCCCAGCCGTGGAGTGGCTGGGCTGCTGGTGCTTGATGCTGATTTTTCTAGTACGGTTTAAATTCCTTTGTAATGCCAAGTTGAGGAAAGACTGCAGTAGAGTCACAGTGGGGGTGTGATTGGTGCCAACGCCCCCTTTGACATCCCCATGACCTTCCTGATGGGCACCTTTGGACTCACAAAACGGCTTTTCAGGCCTCAACTTCCCTGAGTGCAAGGATCTGTCCATCACCCACCACGATGCAGAGGGTCAGCAGTGCCCTGCACTGAGCAGAGCCCTTGGGGCCCCAGGGCTGAGGAAACCTCACTGATCAGGAAAGGAGGGTGTCTGGGACATGACTGGGGATTATAAGGGGGATAAGAAGTTTTTTTTCCTACTGTATCCTCATGCCTTGCTTGAAAGGATCACCCCACAGAGAAGGGTGCAAGGGTGCAATGAGATGAGAGAGCAGCAAAGAAGAACTATGTTGGTGCAAGAAAACAAGAGGTCTGCAGTCTGTTAGTCCACAGAGCACTGGGGGAAGGAAATAACCATCAGGATTTAGTTCTTTCAGAAAACCTTAAAGAAAAATCTTTGATGTGACAGAAATGATCAGGAATTTCTAGGGAAAAATGAAATTATTTGCTGTTTGAAAGCATGGCTGTGGAGGAGGAAACAAGGAGCAGGAATCTACGGTGAGGTTTTAATGGGCACTGATGGTAGCAGTGGGGGTGCCTCTGCTCATAAAAGCTGATTTTTCTTATAAAATAATCATGGAGTGGAAAGCAGGGAGCTAAAAGCATTTCTAAGTGACCCCCTGCAACTTGGCTAGTCCAGATGTGTTGGTCTTCTGCGAGACAGACCCAAACTGGCCGAATGGATGAGGGGATAGCAGCCAAAATCCGGTGCACAGAAGGCTGCATAATTGGAAGGAGGGAACAGGATGGCTCATACACACTGAAGGGTCCCAATTAACTGCAACCACTCCAGGAAAAGATCTAGGAGTCAATGAAACATCTGGCTGATTGCAACGGAGCTCAGAAGAGCCACAAGATGGGAGGTTGTGTTATGAAAGGGGTAGAGAGTAACAGTGAATGTGTAATATCATGGCACTATAGAAATCAATAGCACGTCCTCAGCTGGGGAACTGCAGTGAAAGGCAGGGAGAGGCACCCATCTGAGGACGGAAAAGATTAGGGATGCCTTGCCAAGAGACGATGGAGGGGTGCCAAGCAAGGCTGAGCGCCGAGAAGGTCAGACAGGTGCTCCTCTTCACTGGTCCTTAAAGCACGGGGACAAAGGGACATTCAAGGCGTTTAAAAGGCAACCTTTTTCAATGATAAAAGGAAATGCTTCTTTGCACTGCACGTAATTAACTCGTAGAACTCATGCTACGAGACACCATGGCAAGGGCCCAACAGGATTAGATAGGGCTATGAATGAGAACATCTGTAGTTACATTAGCTGGGATTAATATATATACGGATATAAGCACTCCAAGCCAGCTACTAACTGCCTGCAGTTAGGAGGAGATTTCCCCTGGGGCCAAGCTCTTGCAGAACTGGCTGTCTTGGAGTTTTATATCTCTGTCTGGAGCTTCCAAGACAAGCCACTATTATATGTACAAACCTGCTGAGGCAGAGCATCACCCACCCGAGCACAGGCAGGGACACATTTCTGTGCCTCAGCTGAGGTTTGGGACGAAAAAATACCTGCAAGCAAATCTTAGGGCCTTTCATGGAAGGATGCAAAACACCCTGGGAAAGTGGTTGAACTTGCCGGGGTGTCTCTGCCCCGCTGAAGGCTGACAAATAGCATGACAAAAGTGCAAAT